GCTTGACCATATGGTCAACTCCAAATACGATGACCATGATGAAAAGTGACCATATGGGCAAATTCAAATTCTCTACTTCTGCTCTTCCCACGTGCATTTGACCGTTGTGTACCAACTTGTATTATTTTAATTATTTTTTATCTTAGGCATACTTGCCTATTTATTTGCTGTAATGCACAATGAGTTATTTTAAGGAAAATAAAAAAATCCTTCCTACACTCTTTCTCTCTCTCCCTTACGGATCTAATCTTCTCTCTCTCTTGTTCTTCACACTTATTCTCCACTAAACTTACATTATTTTGCTGAGAGGATTCAATCACAAGTTGATTGTCTCTTCCATTATTAAAGAGTGAGTTCATGTTCTAAGCTATTCTTAGCTTTTCCAACAATAGTATCTGCATTGAACTTGCTTGTTGTGTTTATTTTATCTTCTTTAATTAAATATTATATTTAATCAGCGGGGTTGCGCAAATGTTTGATTGCATCTATATATATATATATATATATTTGTTTTCATCATTAGTGAATATTAATCATACATTTAAATGTTTATTTTATTATTCAAGTATAATAATTTTATAGTAATATATCGTAATTAATTAATTATTGCAATTACTCACATGTATTTGTCACACATAAAAAGGTCATAATTTATACTTCAATAGAATAGATGTGAAACATAAATAAAAAATGCAGTTTAGGGCAACTGCAATGGAATTTCTTACCAATCTTTTAGCTCCAAAACCTAGGCAAAAAATAGTAAAAATTTTGATGGATTCCCAATGTATTAAGGATTGGCCTCTTTATATCCTTATTTAAGGATCAATTCATCGAGGGTATTGTCACTATTTGTAAGTTTTGCTGTTAGGTGGCAGCCCGCCATTGATTATTATTTTGTTTCAGCTGAAAAAGTAATAAAAATTTTAAAAAATAAAATTTTAAGGATTTTTACACGGTTCACGGTTGCGGATGATCTTAGGTGTATAATCGATGATGAAATGATTAAGTTTGGCTTGGTTTGAATAAGCTGATAAGGACAGGGATATCAATTGTGTGTGTGTCAGTGTGTGTTATATTAGACTGGGTGGCTAAAGAAGTCAACCCAATATGGTCCTATATTTTGCTTAATAATCTTCTTGTACATTTCCGAAAATGTTGTTTTGATTTATAAGATGGTGACTCAGATGAAATCTCCTTGGATGTAGAGACTTGACCTTTCTTTGAAGTTTAATTTCTCCTTTTCTTTACCAATATTTCCTTTACACGTAACATCCACAGCTTCCTCAACTATGTCATCACTTCTATCAATAAGAATGGCCTTTTTATGTGTTCCATGTTTGAACATTATTTAAAATTTTCTGCCACTAAAATATTTTAAATATTTTTGTTGGTAATTTATATTAAACCAACTCATAATTAAATAAATGATTTTCACTTCATTTGATGTTGTACCATGTGTACTTATATTTTAAATATATCATTGTTTTCATGGTTATAGGAATTACAATATATATCAAAGATTTTAGGAGTCCTTTTCTTTTGAAAATATTGACAGCTATCTCATTTGATAGTAAAATTTACTGTGATTTTTAATTAGAAATATAAAACATTTATATACAAATATTATAAAAGGTTATTTCTAATTTTATAAATTAAACTGAGTTAGTAATCATTTATAACTAAATCTAATACTATTTACGTGTTTTATTATTAAACACAGGTAAGAAAATTAATGAGAAAATTAATCTTGAAAATATTATCAAAATAAAAACATCAAACTTGAACCTATACGAAAAAAACTAAAACCAAAATCGTACCAATATTTTAAAATACCTAAACAATTACTATGTCTCAAACCCGAAAACCAAAACTAAAATATGAACTGAACCGATAACCGAACATATATCCAAATATTCGAAATATAATAAAAATATTTACTATAATAATATATAATATAATTTATATATTATAATATGCAAAACTTTTAATTACCTAAACTATTCTTTTTAGATTTCTAGAGTTAATTTGATTTTTCAAAGCTTTTTGAGATTTATGGCTTTAATAGGACTCAAACTCACACTATTTATAATTCGAGTTCATTCGGGTTTTACAAAAAAAAATATAAATGCAAACCGAATCTGACATTACTCAAATTGAACTGATCCGGAAAATATTTAGTTTTTACATGGGTCCTAAACACCCAAACCCATATAACTCAAAAAAATATAAATACAAATCTAATCCAACATTACTCAAACTAAACCGATCCAAAAAGTCAAACGGTACCTAAACACTCAACCCAAATTATTATAAGAAAATAATATAAATTAATTTTAATTATAGACGTCAAAATTCAAATATTAAAATTAAAAAAAAACAAAATTGTAGTAATTCCTAAATTAGAAAGATTAACCAAAAACTTATTCCGCGCTTTCAAAACGCGGATAATAATCTAGTTTTTTTAAAATCTACGCGATCCTCAAAATTAACTACAATGTAGTCACCTTGTTTTTCGTTGCCACCAGTGAGTTTTCTTGAACGAAACTCTCTTTAATATATTATTTATTTTAAGAAAACTCCATAAAATAAATCTTGACTGAATTTTGTTAATTTTTTAATATCCAAATTTCTTTTACTATCCAGCTTAATAAATGAACTAATTATTTTGGTAATTTTAATATAGAAAATTTAAACTATGTCAATTTTAATATCTAAGCTTTGTTTATTTTAATTAATAATACTAATGAGTTTCCAACCATTTTTTAAAAAACAAATCTCTAAAATTTACAAAAGAAAAACTCTGAAATTATTTATTTTATGTTCGAGAAATAAAAGTCACAAAACTGTTTATAATTTTAATTTTGTAATAAAAAATTTAAGTTTTAAATATTTAATTTAATTTGTTTTCTCAAATAGAAAACAAATATATTTATTTATCCTTCAAAATTAAATTTTAAACTTTCTCTTCATAATTATTTACCTTATTTTCTAAATCTTAAAATAAAATTAGAAGTTTTTAATAAAATAAATAGTTTTGGATATTAAAACAAGTACAGTTTTAAATTTTTTATATGTGAGCATAATAATTAAGGAGATATTAAACTAGATAGTGAAAAAATGAATATTTAAAAACTTAGCAAATTTAGTTATATTATTTTTATGGAATATCGGTAGTTCTTACAAGAACCCAAGGATGTCATTCAGCACATAGATGTTGCTTCTCGCAGTCATTATACTAATGGACAGACATTAACGCAATTTGTTTTGAATGCGAATGGTAAATATAAGAATGATCTAGATTTTGATCAGCGCTTAAAAACGCGAAATTTTTTTATGATTAAAATTTAGATAATTGGAGTTTTGTCATAATTTAAAGAATGTTTTGGTGTAAAATCAGTTCACCAAAATTTGTGGTGATGATTGTTTTCATTAGTTTTTAGTTTCAATTTTTATTTTTAGATTTTGTTTTAGATTTTGATTTTTGGGGTTTTAATTTTTAAGTTTCTATTTTTGATTTCAGCTTTTGGTTTGAGTTTTTAATTTTTAGATCCGCTGAGTTAGTTTGAACTGATATTACCCCAATTTTTTATGATTAAAAATTTATACAATTGGGGTTTTGTCTTAATTCAAAGAATATTTTGGTATAAAATCAGTTCACCAATATTTGTGGTGATGATTGTTTTTCATTAGTTTTTAGTTTCAGTTTTTACTTTTAGATTTTGTTTTAGATTTTGATTTTTGGGTTTTAATTTTTAAGTTTCTATTTTTGATTTCAGCTTTTGGTTTGAATTTTTAATTTTTAGATCCGCTGAGTTAGTTTGAATTGATATTACCAACAAAGAAATCTCAATTAATCGAACATGTAATTTATAACTGAAAGATGACAAAATAATTTTCTAAATTTTTTGAAATAGTTTATTTTGTAATAAAAAAGTAAAAAATATAATTCAAGCGTAGAAATTTTTTATGATTAAAAATTTATGTAATTAAGTTTTGTCTTAATTTGAAGAATGTTTTGGGATAATATCAGTTCACCAAAACTTGTGGTGATAGTTGTTTTTCATTGATTTTTAGTTTTAGTTTTGATTTTTAGATTTTGTTTTAAATTTTTGTTTTTGGTTTTTAGTTTTTAAGTTTTTATTTTTGATTTTGAGCTTTTGGTTTGAGTTTTTAATTTTTAGACCTGCTAAGTTAGTTGGAACTGATATTACCAACAAACAAATCTCAATTAATCGAACATGTAATTTAAAACTGAAAAGATGACAAAATAATTTTCTAAATTTTTTGAAATAGTTTATTTGTAATAAAAAAAGCAAAAAATATAACCTGCGTTTTCAGCTTTTGGTTTTGGATTTTAGTTTTTAGATTTGGTTTTTGGTTTTGCTTTACATTTTTTTTTAAATCTGTAAAGTATTTAAGAAAAATAAAAGAATAAATTATTTAAAAGTTACTTTTAATATTTATCAAGATAGAGTGATTGTTATTTAAAATAAAAAAAATGTTAACATGTTTTAAAGTAATGATTTAAATAAGTGATTAATAATAGATAATTTTGTTTTGTTGAAAATATTAAATATTTTTGGGCTAAAAATATTAACATAAAATACTAACATGTTTTAAAGTACATGATTTAAATAAGTGATTAATAATAGATAATTTTGTTTTGTTGAAAATATTAAATATTTTTGGGCCTGAAAATAGTAATTGATTTTTGATCCATTAAGGTGAAAAATTTATTTATTTATTGTTTTTGGAGTTTTTCTTTAATACTAAGCCCAAAAACCAAACAATTAAATGTCATAAAAACAAAAGTAAGCCCAAAACCCTATTCTATAAATAACCGTCGGTTTAATTTAAGGAATGCGATTCAATCAATTATATAACTTGTATTATTTGCAACACTCTAGAAAAAGTCCAAATTTAAATGACAACTTGTATCAGTAGATAAAAGAATGACTCTATTTTAATAGAATAAATATTGTATGTAAAAACCATAATAATGAATATATGAGATAAACTGAATGAAATAAGACAAACGAAATATATAAAATTGGAATAAATGTATCTAATTCATACCTTTTTTTTTTTTTGAAAAAAGCATATCTAATTCATACCTTTTGTAGAACTAATGAAATGTTCGTTCCATATTTCCATTTGATTCAAGATAAATGGTAAATGTAAGAATTGATAAAATAATACGTTCCACATCATTCCATTCTGCAAAGTAACAATTCAAATGTGGATTTTATATAGTTTTGGATGATTTGCTAATTAGCTGAGATGTGTTAATGCGCTGATTTATGTTTTTGGCTTTTTTTTTTTTTTTTGGCTAAGGAATCAACACAAAGATGATGTGTAGCGCGTGTAAGCATGATTACACATGCGTGGTTATCCTTGAAAGGAATATTCCAGCTCCGCTCAGCTGGCTTCCATCACAGGTTATCATGATCACCGAGCCGAAAGTGGAGCCACACCTGAGATGCCCAAAGAGAGCCATATGCCTCTTCCACCTCTCATTTTATTCCTTCCTTTAAAAGATAGGAAACTAATCCTCCTTTTTTAAAAAAAATCTCTACAATGAGAAAAAAACTTATGAGCTGTTCTTGATGGGTGTTCACATAATTAATAAGTACTTTATGATATTATTATTAATCACCACCATATAATAATCTTGCATATAGTTTAGTTTACTTTAGTTTAGTTTGTGAAAAGCATTAAGGAGAATTAAAAAAAAAACATACAAAAATTAGGATGAAGCAAATAATTTCATTATTCTGACATCAAGGTATAACTATATTAATTGTTGAACACATTAGCCATGTTCGTTTAATGGACACAGCGTTCAATATTAGTGTATGAGATTTGTTCATAGGTTTCTTCATCGTTGATTAAATGAATTGAAAATAGAGATGTTGTATCATGAAAAATAAAACTTTTAGCTGTTACCGCAGAAGCTAAAAAATAACGACGATTGTTTTTCATTTTTTTTTTACGACTGAAAATAGAGATGCGTGTCAGTGTTCTTCTCTTTTTTTTTGAATACTCTTTTCTTTTTCTTTTAAATTTAGATCCGCCGCTGAATTCGTTAAACGAACATGGCTATTATTATCGGAATCATACATATTGTTCGTGTGTTATCGATTATACAAATGAATTTGAATCTAATACAAACCATCCATTAAATAAAAGAGAAATTTCAATTTTAGGGTAAATTTAATATCATTTTCAAATTTATCATTAAAATGATTATTTTCACAAATATTATTAATTTATGATAAAATAATATTAAATTATTTTTAAAAATAATTATTGAATATTTATAAATCCAATTCCAACCTCTTAGTAATAAAATCTGAAAATAATAAGTAAAGATTAAATATAAATGTTAGTATATTTTTTTATTGGTGATATTTTTGGAAAATGCTACTCAATTTGTGATATTTCATATTTCTAATAATTTCTTTTAAGTAAAAGTGGTTGTAATTCACTAATGAATTAGAATCACAGTAGAATAATATCATAACGTTTGAACACAATTGACCCAAAAAAAATATGTTACCTTCATTTCAAAATCAAAATTTATGACACTATACTTTTATTAGCTTTATTATTAAACAATTATAATTTTGAAATAGGTTGTGCTTTTTATCATGCTTATGTATTAAATTAAAAAAATAATAAAAACCCAACATATAATCATTCGGACTAAATAGGCTTCCGCATAAATCTGAGGAAAAGGAAGAGAAAAGACGCACACCCAAAGACTCCCTTCTTCTTCGTCTCTCAAACTAATTTGATTCAACCATGGTGAGCCCTCGATTTTACTTTTCTCTGATTCCAGCTACTCGATTAGAGTTACTCCAGTTCCATTTTTGTTTTTTGATTCTTCGGATTTTGGTTTTCGCCCAAAGTTTGATTTGATTAGATCTGGAGATATACTCGTTCCTTTGTTTAGATCTCTAAGATTCATGAGTTGTATAGTCATAAGAAAGACTGATCTAAGGCTAGGAATCGAACTACGATATCACTGTGCTTTATTTTTGTTAAACAAATCGATTTTTTGAAATCATAAAACATCTGTTTTTATTCCATGTGTGTTTCTCCCTTTGATCTCTCTTAATTGATGTGTTTGAAGAGTGTTTATGTTTATTTGTGTGTGTGTGTTTGAAGAGAGTTTACTTGTGTCTTATTGTTCTTTTGTTTTTGTTTTTGGTAACAACCAGGCTAATGCAGCGTCAGGTATGGCAGTCCACGATGACTGCAAGCTCAAGTTTCTCGAACTCAAAGCCAAGCGTACTTTCCGTTTCATCGTTTACAAGATCGAGGAGGCGCAGAAGCAAGTGGTCGTGGAGAAACTAGGAGAGCCTGGTCAATCCCATGAGGACTTTGCCAAAAGTCTCCCTGCTGATGAATGCAGATACGCTGTTTTCGATTTCGATTTCGTCACTGCTGAGAGTTGCCAAAAGAGCAAGATCTTCTTCGTCGCATGGTAAGTGTTTGTAGAATAACTGTTATATCTTTTGCTTTCACCTTGTTTTTTGAAAACCATCTTGTTGTTTTTGGCACAAAGGTCTCCGGACACAGCAAAAGTGAGGAGCAAGATGATCTACGCCAGCTCTAAGGATAGGTTCAAGCGTGAGCTTGATGGAATTCAAGTAGAGCTTCAAGCAACCGATCCAACTGAGATGGATCTTGATGTTTTCAAGAGCCGAACCAACTGAGGAAAGATATCCTCTAAAAAAAATTGGTTGAAACCAACTTTTTTTATCCTACTATTACCGAATGATATGCTTGTTCTTTAAGTTTGCTGTGAAGGCACCAACCAAAACAGCTTCATTTCATTGGTCTTTGTCTTCCTATGTCTTTTTTTTTTTTGGTCCTTGCAGTGTTTTGCTTTAAACTTAAAAAAGAGATTTGGCTTGTGCTATTCTACCATTGTGTAAGAAACCTAAAACCTCTACCAAAAGATGAATCTTATTGACACAGTGTGTCTTTATCTTCGTCTTCGTTAATCTATGTATCTAATGATATAGTAGTGGTTTAAACTATTGTCACAACATATAACAAAATAGGTTAGGCTATTTTACTAATATTCTACTTATTAGTAGACAGATCCACGAGATGCTTTTGTATGTTCTTAAATCTTAATAATCGATTTACTAGCGTGTCTTATGGATCTCCAGATTTGTTAAACTTTCATCTGATTCATGGCTACTGAAATGTTCTAAACAAGTTTATATGATATTTGGATCAATCCAAGAATTTTAAGTTCGAATGTAACACTGCTTGCTCAATCGAGCATATATGGTCCAGAAAATATTTGAAAATCTAAAAACATTAGTCATATATAGTTGTCATTTTTGATTAGTTGAAACATAAATCCAACCATTGGCAGTTGTCCACTATTGCTCATTTTACGCAATCTTTCAACTATCAGCATATACACACTTGTTGTCTACTTTATTCTGTCAGTAATTTGGTTCTTTAAATTTTCATAAGATTCTTATGCAAATAAACAAATAAAGATATATGGAAAAGAGCAGCAATAACAGTAGAAATTCAGTAGAAATCCCACATTAACCACAAAACCAAAGAAATATAGATTAATAGATTTATTAAAGATGGATAGGATAATGATAATGGGGAAAAATATTAGTAGAGGTATTTGGCTTCACAAGGTAAGAGCAAATGCAACATTAAAAATCATAATGATATAATTTAATAGGTTTAAAATCTTAAATAAGTAACAATTTTGATTTGTTAAAATTTTGAATTATATATTGATTTATTATCTCAGCATGTAGATTGACATTTTTATACTATAGTTTTATATTATTACATGTAAAGACTTTTTAATCCCAATTACCAATTCAAAATATCAACCTGGATAGTAATATATCTAAAGTATATCAATACTTTTGAATCATAGTTTTACATAAAAAAACATAAGCAAAATATATCGTTGAGCAAATTATGAGAACAATATATCATATTAAATAGAAAACATAAGTAAAATATGAGAATAAAATATGGGATATCAATTTCAGATGAAAGATTTTTAACAAAAAAACTTAGAAAATAATAATATATTTTTTTACAATTAAAAAAAAAAACAGTTTGCGCGGTTAAGGATTCGTGAAATGAATAAATACATCCAGTTTTATCACCATCACTTCATTTTATGTGGTTTCAACTGGATGTTTATAATAATAATTTCACATTTATATGGAAATTCAAAAAGTAAAAAACAAATGGATATAATCGCAGACAAAGCTCTATTATTCATAAATAACGGTGGTTAAGTACTTAAATATTGAGTAGCACATATCTTGTCTATTAGTTTTATACCTAGTAAGTCATCATGTTTTTTTTTTGAAACAAGTAGTTTTATACTGAAAGCCTAAGTTAAAAAAAAAAACAAGTAGTTATAGCTGATGTTGTTGGCTGGACTCTTCGAAACAAGTTTCTCAGAAACTCTGTTGAATTCCGGCAGTCATTATCCAGGCAGTGAAATTTTCCAAAACAAAATCATAAGATTTAAATTATTTTGTATAAAAAGTTAGATGGCTGATAATCTGATGTCTATGCATTTGGAATTAGTTCTTTTAAAGCCATATGCGAACAACTGGCTTTGGACCCTACATTAGCGGGAAATCAAGTCAACTTAGCTCACTGAACTCAATACAAAAAATGTTGTATTACAATGGTGGTATAATAGTCTAATAATCATCAAAAAGCTCCCAGGCCCGCCTCCCTAGACGCCTCCGCTTGATGGCTTCCCTCCGTACCAGATCCGGCGCTCAATCTACCTTCTCTTGAAGATGTTCATTTTTCTTCTCTTCCATGGCGTCAATGCTTAAAGCTCCTCCTCCGTCGCGGTCAAGAACCCCACCAGATCCGCCTCCGTGCATAAATCCTCCATTATCGCTCAAGTCTCTCATTCTCACCGAACCGCCAGAGCCGTCAAACCCTCCTGATGCAAATGTCATCCCTGCTCTGATCCCGTTCGTCGATGAATTCCACAACCCCTCTCCCCAAACGGCTTTCCAAGTTGTAGATCTGGAATCTGGTGTCCCAGTTATGGCGTTTGGATCCACGGGTGGTGTGGTCTCTTGTGTGTTTACGTGTAAAGAACTCTCTTCTACCGTTTGTTCATGGCTCTTGCTTACCGGATCTACTTCATCCAACGTTGTCGCTCGCTCTAATAATTATTTGTTATAAACATAAAATTGCAAGAAAATGTGACATTTCAGTGTTTTGCTATTTGAATGTTGCAAATACATATTTGTTAAAAAAACAAACTATTATATTGCATCAAAACTCATATATATATACAATGGCAGAGCCAAGAAAATCTTTTAGAGGGGTCAATTTCATCATATATACATATATTACATGGGTCAGTTGGTAAATCATAGTTTTCTTTCCAAAATCCAAGTAAATTTTTTTGTTTATAAAATTTGACATGGGTCATTTGACCCCTCTACCAAAGGTACCGATTCCGATTCCGAAACGGGAAGCACACGTTTGATGAAGCTTCCGTGCAACATAGGCTCTAACTATGCCAATTAAAGCTGATATGTTTATTTTTGAAAGAAATTTCATAAATAATTAAAAGAAATTTCATAAATAATTAAAAGGTGAATTTAGCACATTAATAAAATCTATTATTATATTGTTTTTATGCCAAAAAACCAAAAGACTATATTGTCATTAATGAAAATAAAAATTAAAAAAAAAAAATTTTTTTGTTCATATCACTAAGGGTAATTTGAGAAAGATAAAAAAACTCATTAAAAGAAATCATCCCAAGTATTGATGCTGTGTCGGTAATGGCAGTCCAGGATGACTGCAAGCTAAGGTTTCTGGAACTGAAGGCCAAAAGGAAACAGGGGTTCAGACTGATAATATTATTTTCTATTTTTAACTGATTGAGATGTCAATGCATGTTTCAACTAATACAATTACAAAATGGGTCATTCGAACTAGAATCATTCAACATAGTTTCTCCGCATGTTTTGGAGTTAGGCTTCAATCCATGTCTCAACATCTCATTCCTCAATTCAATGGCTTTCTCCATCTCCCCCGACAAACAACAACCGTGTATAATAGTGTTATACGCTACTCTATCAGGCTTTACACCTCTTTCCATCATCGAGTTCCATAACTCAATCGCTTTCTTCACGTCATTCTTCCTACAAAACTCATAGATCATCGTTGTGTAGGTTATACAATCAGGCGAAACATCATTCCCTGTCATCCTCGTCAGAAGCTCAGAAGCTTCAGCCATTCTCCCCTGTCTACAAAACCCACGGATCAACATATTGTACGTAGCGGTGTTAGCTAAAAGCCCTTTCAATATAGCATCATGGAGCTCAACAGCCTTCTGCATGTCTCCTTCTCCTTTGGTGAGAATGTCAAGAAAACAACCATATGTTACTTGGTTAGGAGACAGCATTTTTGAACGTAAAATCTCAGCTTCATTTACAAATCCTGCTTTGCATAATCCATTGATAACAGCAGTGTAAGTGACTTCATTAGGTACACATCCTTCGGTTATCATCAAATCCCATATCCCAAATGCTTCCTCAAAATCTCCCGTTTTGCTTTTTGCATCAATCATACTTGTATAGATCACATCATCAGGCTTGAGTCCTTTACCATGCATCTCCTTTAGAAGTCCAAGAAACATCTTTCGATCTTTGTACTTTAAACTTCCATCTATAAGAACACCGTAACACACAAGGTCTAAATCCACCCCTCTTTGTACCATCTCCTCACAAACACTTAACGCCTCCTCTAATCTTCCTTCTCTGCAAAACCCATGTAAGAGTGTGGTATAGCATATCTCATTCAGCTCATGGTTCTCTTTGTGAAGACTATCTACAAACTCTTTGGCTTCAGATGCTCGACCTGTTAGACACAGTCCGTGTATCAACGATCTATAGGTAAATGTATCTGGTTCAATACCTTTCTCTATCATCTCACTCTGCAACGCAAAAGCTTTACCCATGTCTCCTTCCTCGCAATAACCTTCAATCATGACATTATAAGTCACTCTATTTGGTTTAATGTCCCATTGAACCATCTCGTTAAATAGCTTTACTGCATCACGAATCAACCCGCCTCGAAAAAGACCGGATATAAGCGTGGTGAATGTGTAGATACTCGGCGCAATACCTTTCCCTGTCATCTCATGATAGAGTCTAAGAGCATCGTGTGTTTTCCCTTTGCTGCAATATCCACCCATCAGTGATGTGTATGTTACCACTGTTGGCTCCAACTTTTTATTAATCATCTCCGCCATGAAACTCTCAGCTGCACTAATGTCACCGAACTTGCAGTGTCCATTAATCAGAGAATTGTATGGATAAACAGTTGGTTTCAAACCAGAATCAATCATTTTCCCCAGGAAACTAAAGGCAGTGTCAAGTTTCCCTCTTCTGCAAAACATATCTATCAAAACTGAATAAGTCACACCGTTCGGACACAAGCCAATCTTCCCCATCCTATCAAACACCAACTCAGCTTCGTCAAACTTTCTACATTTGCACAATAAGTCAAGCAATGCATTATACACAAACAGATTAGGAGACACGTCACTCTCCGCTATTCTTTTAACCAAGTTAAGCGCCTCTTCAATCATCCCCCTCTTCCTTAACCCTTTTACCAAACTTGAAACTGCAGCTTCACTAGGACTAAATCTCAAACATAACATCTCATCCATCATCTCCAATCCCACTTCAAATTCCTGCACTTTACACAACCCGTGGACTAAAGTACAATATGTCACAACATCTGGCTTCAGATCCTTTCTAGATAAACTCTTCTTTAACTCAACAGCCTCCCAAACCCTCTGCTTCTTACAAAGCCCATTAATCAACACATTATACGGAACTATACTCAAATCACACCCACTTTCCTCCATACGAACAATCATCTCTCTAGCTCGAGAGAGATCTCTCAACTCACATAAGCTATGTATAACCCCTGAGTATATATACACATCAGGACGAACACCAACACTGATCATCTCCTCAAACATCTCCATCGCCACACCATAATGCCTAGAATGAACTAAACCGTGTAACAACGCACTCAAGGTTCTAACTTCAGGTAATAAACCAGATTTCGTCATCATCCTAAACACCAAAACACCATCTAAACCTCTCCTAATTCTTACATAATGCTGAATCAACAAATCAAAACTCGAGCTTGAATTCGAACTAAGCTTACAACATTTCTCGTAACTGCTAAAAAGGGAGTAAAAAGCCTCACTTGGGTTAAGCCCACGAAGGAGAAGCGTCTGTAACAGCGACGACGCTGGCCAGAAGAGATTGGATTTGACCAAGGAATGGATCAAGATGCAAAACGACGCCGTCGAGTGGTCGAATCCTCTGTGAAGGCCGAGGAAATTGAAAAACCTTAGACCGAGTTTGGGTTCATCTAGGGTTCCGATCAGGATCTCTTCGACGTGGGTTGGCTTCAATCGTCTCGAGACGAGGTCTCTGCTCAATGCGATCTCCCAGCTTCGTTTCCCACGCACGATTCTTTTGACGGCATCGACGAATTGCGAATCTTTTTGAGAGGATTCGATCACTGAGGTTACGTTTCTGGAGGTGTGAAGGAAATGAGAGCTTGAGAGTGATGGAATCGTGCGAGGGAGCTTCATCAAAGAGGGTGGTTCACCGGAGAGAGTAGCATTTGTTTCTGTTGTGAAAACAAATCGAGATATCCTGGAACCGGGCGGGTCGGGTCGGGTAGTCTCACTAATTTATAATGGGCTTTAGTCTGGATTCATTTAAAATAGATGGGCCGATATAGAAAACTGGGCCGGAGCGGGAAAATGAAAATTTCAGGAGCGCCAAACTCGACACGTCAGCAGTCCCACTATTGAGACCTTTCCTTTTTTCTTTTTTAATAACCGTCGATAACAAAGAAGATCCAACGGCTTAGACACCGATCCGCGTCAATCTATTTAATCCAATAATATCAAATCCCTTCGATGTATATAAAACCTAACCGCTCAAGCCATTGTAGATACCACAACTCACAACCAATACAAAGCATTTTCTAAAACCTAATCTCGAATCTCAGATTTGTTCTTTGCTACCTAGAATCAATGGCGCCCAAGGCAGAGAAGAAGCCAGCAGAGAAGAAACCAGTTGAAGACAAATCAAAAGCCGAGAAAGCTCCAGCGGAGAAGAAACCAAAGGCCGGGAAGAAGCTCCCCAAGGATCCCGCCGTCGCCGGAGACAAGAAGAAGAAGCGGTCGAAGAAGAGCGTGGAGACTTACAAGATCTACATCTTCAAGGTCCTGAAGCAGGTTCATCCCGACATCGGAATCTCGAGCAAGGCCATGGGGATCATGAACAGTTTCATCAACGACATCTTCGAGAAGCTCGCGGGTGAGTCTTCCAAGCTTGCGAGGTACAACAAGAAGCCGACGATTACTTCCAGGGAGATTCAGACCGCGGTGAGACTTGTGTTGCCTGGTGAGTTGGCGAAACATGCTGTCTCCGAGGGGACTAAGGCTGTCACGAAGTTCACGAGCTCTTGAAGGATGTGTTTGGGTTTGGTCTTTTGTTTCGAATGTCTGAATTTTAGGGTTTAGGGAAATGTTCTTTCGTGTTTTTCCAGTATCGTTTCGTTTGCAATCTAGTTTTGTAAGTATTGATATGTTTCGGAATCTATGTTTCATCTCTTATGTGTTACAATCCTATGCGTATTTTATAATTGAAAGTCTTCTTTTTTAGCAATTGAGTGTGTTAAATTGATCAATTAACTTAATTTTCGTAGAATTTATTTCTAGTGTTTATGGTCTCACGATGAAATGAAATATATGTAAGTTATGTCTATCGTAGATTCGTAGTTGCTAGTTGAATTTGTTTACTTGCAATGTGTAATTGTTCTGATCTCAAACTTGTTAACTTGTGTTTTTGTCAGCTCTGTAGGAAGTATGTGTTTGTTGTGAGTTTATGATGCCAGATTTATATTTGCTAGTCTCATATATATACTATATATATATAGGTTACTTCTGCTGTCCCATTGTTGGTTTAATTTCTTGTAACTAGTAAACGCAGATGAATAATTGTAGTAACTAGCTGGTGAGTGATTTTTTTTGTTTTGGTATTCAAGTTTTTTTTTTTTTTTTTTACATTTTCGAGTCGGAATCTGATCTTCTCTGGGTGCTTTAGTCAAGATCCATGGTCGTTCAACGACTGGATGCTTGTGCTCGATAGGTTTACCGCACGTGAAACCCTAATTTCTTGAAATTCATCAGCTTCTGGGTGGAAATGATTGGAATCGCTGGGGATTACAGAGACCATGATGTGATTAAAGAGATTGGTTCGCTTTTAGGAGATGAGTCGGAGATCGAGAACCAAGGACCTGCTGTGAGAGCTCGGATTCGAATTGATTTGGGTTAAGATTTGGATTTTTTTTGAGAGAGATGATGAGCCTGTGGAAGTGACATTTTGTTTATGAAGATGTTTTGTCAAGTTACATTATGATCTTGTTTACCCACTTATTAGTTTTATGTACATATATCTCAGAAATAGGCCCGAGCGCAAGTCGGGTACTTGCATTTTCCGTCCTACCTATCTGCTACTTGACTTGCTTTGTGGAAGCATTATAATTTTTTGCTTGTACTTGTACTTGTTTCGATCAAATACTTAGTTAATCGAGTACTTGTCTATATTTTAAATACTTGTATGTTACTTGATAATACTTATACTTGTTTACTTGGATTTAAAACTTTTAAATATACCAAAACATATAAGTTCAGTTAACATGGAATAAATATTTTTATTTTTCATATACTTTTAAATTTAATTTAGTGAGTGTATATGTTTCATTTGTAATAATCATACATTACATAAATATCTTAAAAATAATATATTTTTTATTTTTATTACAATATTAGTAGTAAAACAAATATTTTGAAGAGTAGTATATATTTTAAAAATCAATAAACAAGTAATAAAACAAGTATCAAGCCGAGTATTAAAAAATATTATGATACTTGATACTTGATACTTGATTTATACTTGCAATTAATATGATTTTCATATTTAGTACTTGACTTGACAACGTTAAGTACTTGATTTTTCAAACCGAGTACGAGCCAAATAGCAAGTACAAGTCGAGTAACAAGTATTGTTGCCAAGTCCTACTTAGAAAACATATTAAACAGCTGGACTCGGAATATGGCCTAAATTTTGTCTACGTGGAAAGCAGTTACTTTCCATTACACAAACAAATCATCATCACTTCTCGATTAAACGATTGCTTCAAAACGTAAAAGAACAAATGCTCACTTCTCAGCAAAGTAATAACTAATACCCTCAAGAAATTTGTATCAGAGCTATAACCATAAAAAAATATGCATTTGTTCTGTTTAGCGTTGAAGGAAAGCATATTTTTTAGTTCCTTTTCTTTTTTTTTCTTGACATAAAACATATTTCGATGTTGAAAGAAAAACATATTTTCAGATTTCTTCGGAGATTATCTCAACGTTTCTGATATGACTCATTCACTTAACGTACGTTTTGCGAGACGGTCATTCTCCCATTGTCGTATTTTGATGAAAGAAGAATTTAATTGATTCTTTTATTTCATTGAAAAGAGAATTATGGTTTACGTAAAGTTGTCTTAGAAAAATAATACTACAGTATATATAAACACGGTGATGATCCTTTTCTGATTATCAGTACTACTTTACGTTAACAAAAAAATTATCATTACTTAACAAAATCTCTTCGTTTTTTTCTCACATTATGAATTCACACGAGCATCCTCTTTTCCCTTCAGCTCGCTTTATTAGGGGTGAATGTAAGGCTGCCGTGTAGGTGGAGTAATCTACGGGGGCTACTATTGCAATCAAAAAATTGTCAAGTTAAGTTTCATAAGGAGTGTGCCGAAGTCCCAAAAAGGATCATCTGTCCCTCCCATCCCCATTACCCTCTCGTGTTGACAACCGGCCAGACTTATACTCTATGTGATCTTTGTGGAGATCATATATTGACCCCATATTATCGTTGCTACACATGCGTATACGAGATACATTTGATACATTTCACCCCTGCGTGCTATCGAACATGCCTTGTGTCATGACCATCCACTTGTTTATTTGGAGAAGGAACTATATATGAAGTCTCTGTGTGAGATATGTGAGCAGTCTATTTATGGACCATCCTATTCATGTCCCCAGTGCCATCTGTACTTCCATTTAGATTGTGTCCATCTCTCGAAAAAGGTAAATCATCCTTGTCACTCTAATCACCCTCTTCAACTCATTGCAGTTGAATCACTTACGGGTGGTGCCGAGAAGTTTTGTATTTCCTGTCTAGCAGCAGCAGAAAAGTTCATTTCTCACTGTTCCATCTGTAACTTCAGCATCTGGCTTATTTGCTTCAAAAACCCGCCTCCCCTAGTGGTTGAGCATACCAAGACTCACAAACATCCACTTAACCTCTTTCCAAAGAAAATGCCATTTACTTGTGACGTTTGTGGGGAAGAAGACGACGAGATGCCTTATGTGTGTGTTTTATGCGCTTTTCTTATCCATGGAGCGTGTATCTATTTACCTCGTGTCATCAACATCAATCGTCATGATCATCGCATGTCTTTCACTCGTCATCTCGGCCATGGTTATTTGAAATGTGGAGTTTGTCACCAAAGTTTAAGTCAATATCATGGGGCATATTCGTGCTCTGTTTGTCCAGGCTATGCAGCTCATTTACAACGTGTGGTAAGAAATGGTGTATGGGATGGTGTTGAATTAGAAGAGATTCCAGATGATACAAAATATATTGCACCATTCAAGGTGGTGGGTGATGATTTAATAGTTCATTTCAGTCATGGATACCATACTTTAAGGCTTAACAAAGAAAATGTCACTCATAGTAATCGATGGCTACAATGTGATGCATGTATGTATCCGGTTGGATTTCAGTCCATCTACGTTTGTGATGAATGTGGCTACGTTCTTCATTGAAAATGTGCTAATCTTCCTACGAGGAAAAGATTTGTCTTTGACATTGTACTATACATGTTTGAAGCTCGTGCTCCTCATAATATATGCTGCCACCTATGTAGAACAATATCTGGTGGTTTGCTGTACAAATCACAATCACGATACCCGAGTTACAAAGACGTACATTGTGGTTCCCTTTCTGAGCCATTCGACCACAATAGCCATTCACATCCACTATATTTTCATGAAAATAAAAGTCACTATTGCGACGGATGCCATGATGTTGTGAATGGTCATGTTCTCCGTTGTGATGCTTGTGATTTTGTGTTGTGTTTTTATTGTGCTTCTTTGCAAAAAAGATATGGCACGTGAAAGAAGAGCACCCTCTCACTTTATATTTAGAGGAAAAGGTGGAAAACAACAAATGGTGCGACAGTTGTGAAAATGAAATAAAACCATGTAAATGGTTTTATACATGCTACGATTGTGAAATCACTTTGCATGTACGATGTGTACTTGGAGATTTCTCACGTCTCAAGATAGGAAGGTCTGTTAGCTTTTGGCCCTATCAATGTCATTCTCGGTGCAAGTTCTCTACCATCCTAAAGACGCTTAATGAAGAGAATGTATTATACATATGTTCCCTCTCATGTTTTCTTTACCTTCTATCGCATCCATGATAAGTGATTCTTTTTTTCATTTGCTCATGTACCTCTTGTCAAATAAAACGTATAACAATTAACTCAACAATAGAACAATTAATAACTTGTTAACCAAAAAATAATAATAACTTAATTTCAGAGAACAATTGAATTGATTGTTGTAACGACAAAGTATGTTTTTAAGAGAAATCAAGAAGACCCGGTGGCAACACAATGTTCAATCAATACTACTTCCTCTATTTCATAATAAATGTCACTTTAGATTTTTTTTCTTTTGTTTAGAAAAAATGTTATTCTACATTTTCAATGTACTTTTACACATTAAATTTATCTTTTACCCTTTTAAATAACTAATAAAGTTTCATTTAAATTAATTTTACTTAATTAATTATACATTAAATAGAAATATATTAGTATATTTTATAATTTTCTTAATTTCCGTGAAGTATGTCAAACTAACACTTTTTGCGAAACATAAACAATATTAACATCAATACTATTAATTAAAACATACTACTCCCTCTGTTTCAATATAAGTGTCACTCTACAGCTATGCACACGGATTAAGGAAACAATTAATTTTACATATTTCTTATATAAAAACACAATTACCCACACACCTAACCATATTTTAACCAATAGAAAAACAAATTACATAATAAAATTAATAAATTTTGCATTGAAAACCGAAAACGACACTTATTTTGTAACACAAAAAATTCTCTACAACGACACTTAATATAAAACGGAGGGAGTATTAAAACATGATCATTCCTATTTTTCTCTTTTAATGAAAATGTTAATTTTACCTAAATTGTCCTTGATTTTAACAACAAACTTCAATTTCATTAAAGGTCATCTAGTCATTGAATTTTTGAGCTTAAAACTATATTTAATCTTTAATTTTATTATAACCTATTAAGAAAACTCATTCTTACATTCATCAATTTAATTTTCATTAGAGCCCTATATCCATTGTATGCTTATGAAAAAGATATTATATACATTAAAATTAAATATAAAAAATACTAATATCAAATTGTAGTGATATTTATAGACTGATTCCAAACTATTTTTTCCGTTCACTTAGAAACAATCAGTTCAGACTGTTCTAAGTAAAAATCACCAAACTGCACTGTTTTCTGTCTCTTTTATTTAAGCTGGTCCATCTCTTATTTAGTGCAACTCCAGACCTGTCATGAATCAAAAATGATTAAAAAGACTTGATAAAAACATAAAAAATATTTTAGAAAACATTGTTAAAATATGCCAAAACACCATATATCAATTTATAAAATTCTTTCAAAGCACTAAATATAATACTCTACAAAACTTGATTTCCAAAACCATATAAATTATTTCTTAAGTACGATTGGCAAATAAAAGTGGCGGTACAAAAATAAGTTGTAGTACTTACCAATCATCCCTATTAAGGTTTCCTTAAGAGGTTTTTGCACCCTTGGATTATATATGAAATTCAACGGCTAGAGGATCGCATAATTTTTGACAAGCCAAAGAGAGTTTTTCTTTTATTTTTTCCTTAGAGCATGATTAATCTGGGGTTCTTAAAATATGGTTCTAAGAGCACTTTTATTCCTAAAACCTATTTGAATTTCTTATTTTTTTTGTTTGATTAAAAGATAAAATTTAAAAAATAAACCAATCGCGGACCGCCACATATCAGTGGGTTCGCGAATAGTGCAAAAAATCCATTTAAATCGATTTTTAGTTGAAATTTTTTGTAATCAGTTTTTATAGTTTTTGTGTATCCCCAAGTTAAGAAACTTCCTAAGAACCATGGTTTTTGTCGATCCCCGAATTAATAATCCTCCTAAGAGGATAAAAATGTCCTTAGCATCTCAGAGGTTGATTGTTTCCAGTTTTTAAATTGGTTTTTGGTTTTTGATTTTGTAGAAACTAATTTTTTACCAATCAAGATTTTAAGAAAATAGATTTCCTAAAATTTAGGGAAACCAGATTTTGGAATAACTACCTAACTCTTCATAAAAACCAAAAACCATGTTTTCTTGGTTTTTCCAGCAATAGTATGTGACTTAACATTGTTTCTTATAGTTATTTTTTTTTCTTTTTGTTGAAATATTAATATTACTATAATTATGCATTAACATAGATAATTAAATTAAAAGATATTATTGATGAAATAATAACTATTCTATATCACTTATAGTCAAGAAAACTATTTCTCTATCATTGAAGATTTAAATTCTAAAACTACAAAATAATTTATATTAGTGAAAACATTTTCTTATTTTATATATTTTTAGATTTTTTTTTTTAATTTTAATTTTAAAAACTTTTTAGTAAAAATAAATTGCAACCTGTTTTTGTACAAAACCTAATTATTAATTAGCACTATTTTATGTGTAAAATTATATAGTATTAAAAATTATTTTTACCAAACAATTTGGTTGCAAATTATTTTTACTTAAAATTTTAAAATTAAAAGTTGAAAATCTAAATATTTTTAGTAATATTTGGTTTATATAAAACGTAACAAAATTTGAGATGGAAATAGTATATTTTCTAAATTATTATGTAAAATATAATTATTAATTTAAATAATTGTGTATTTCCTGTAAATATAAAATTTAATATTTTTAAATGAAGCAATTATATTAATAATACTTTTATATTTTTTTACATTTTAAGTTTTCATTAAGTTATTTACTTTTCATGACACTAATGATAATTTTGTTTTTATTGATTCATAAGAATATTTTACTATTAATAATTTATTTTAATTTCTAAAACAAAAACCAAAATCTAAAATCACCATTCAAGTTTTTCAAAAAACCAAAATCTACAGCAAAGTCAAAAACTAAAAACTAAAAACTAAAAGCCAAAAACTAAAATCTAAAAACCAAACAAACAATCATCACCTGAATTTCATTCGGTTGAATTATTTCATTAAACTGGTACACCTTGTGTTGTTTCATTCGGTTGAATTATTTCATTAAACTGGTACACCTTGTGTTGTTAAATAAAACGTACTAGGATAAGACCCGCGCCTTGCGCGGGATGAAGCTATAATTTTTATTATGTTTTTAAAAATGAAACAATAGTTCGGTTTCATTCGGAATAGAGGTGTTCAATCCGGATATCGGGTTTCGGTTCGGCTCGATTTTTTGGTATTTCGATCATTAAAATATAACTACTATTCTAAATCTATATGTACTTCAGTTTGATTTGGTTTATATACCATCGGTTTTCAGTTTATTCAATTTTATACCAAAAACATAATTATTTAGTTTGAGATCATATTATATATTATACAAATANATCTATATGTACTTCAGTTTGATTTGGTTTATATACCATCGGTTTTCAGTTTATTCAATTTTATACCAAAAACATAATTATTTAGTTTGAGATCATATTATATATTATACAAATATATAATATGATCATATTTAGAGTCATATTGTCACAGAGTCATTTATTAAAAAAATATTATATATTTAAATAAAAGAATAAAAAAAAAAGGCTTCTATCATCTAATAAAATGATCAAATCTAGAATTAATATCAAAACACTAAATTTTGAAAATAAAAATAAAAAAAAACAAAACAGAAGCATGAAAGAAATTTTTTTATATTCTTCCATATTTAGTGTTCATCAAACCAATATGTCTTCGATTGAACACAACTCTGTTTGTTTAAAGATAAAACAAAGTTATAAAGAATTTCAACTAATTGTTGTCCATCAAATTTATAATCTTTACTTCAATTTAGTTACTGTTAAAAAAGCAAAAAATCAAAATAAGAAGTCTTAGTTGTAATAAATTGTTAGCTATTTACAAATTATAATTATAGTTCAACTCATGTAACAAATAGATATTCATGCGTCGTTATAAATATATATATATAAATATATATATATATATATATATATATATATATATATATATATATATATATATATATATATATATATATATATATATATATATATATATATATATATATATATATATATATATATATATATATATATATATTTACATATTTCAGTTTAATCGATTATAAATCAAACCATATCCAAATCCTATGGTTTTTATAAAATCACATCAATTCGGTTTGTATGGTATATACCAAAAATAACCATATTATCGATTGTTAACATCTTTTACAAATATAAAATTAAAAAAGAACTAAGATATTTAAATCATTGATAACAAAAAATTTCAATGTGAAAAATATAATAAGTTTATAATTTATAAATGTTCTTGAAAATTTATTGAAAATTTTGAAATTAAAATATTTATGTAATCTTATATGGTATATAGTTTAATCTGTATATATATATTTGTTTTATTATTGAATGATACTTTTTACTTATATGGTTTTAAAATCATGTATATCTTTTTATAATAAANAAAAAATCTAAATTTTAATTTTATAGCTAATTTGATTGTTTAATTTATTTTAATAATATAAAATTAAATAAAAATGATGGAGGATATATAAACTGTTATCAAATATTTATTATTAGAATCATTAAGTGTCATATATATATATTAGTCATTTATGGTAATTCCGTAGGTTTTATTTATGGAAATAAAATAAAATAGTAATAATATCTTAGGAAACAATCATTAAGTGTCATATATATATATTAGTCATTTATGGTAATTCCGTAGGTTTTATGTATGGAAGAAAATAGCATATCATATCATTATATCATATAGTTTGATTAACTAATGTATCTAGCAACCTATAAAAATCCAATATGGACTTATCTATTTTTCAATTGAATCTAATTGACTACCTAATTGAATGACACCTATGCATTGGGGTCTCTTTTAATTAATACAAAATTGAGGTTACATCTTTTCAAATGTTCCTCAATTAATATATAGGGGATTGTATCTCGTAGCGGATCTGCAACTTATACATGAAATAATAGATAATAAATATGTAATATATGGATCAGTTAAAACATGGCAACGTAATTGTAAGCTTGGAACTGTGATGAAAACGTAGCTTGGGATAAGTTGAAACTTTAAACATATAACTAGATGATAACCCGCGCCATGCGCGGAGTGAGCTTTTTAACAATATGTTGTATTTAAATATATATTTTGCTATCAATATGGACATTTGGGTACTATTTGTTTCGGTTAGATTATGTTTGGTTTAGATCATTGCGGTTTAGTTTGAATTTTTACAGGTTCAGAATGGGTTTAAGTTCGCATAACCCATTTAATTTTTATAAAAAAGATTAAAACTCATATATACTTTAAGTTTTTCAAAACCTAAAAGTAGAAATAATATATAACATAAATTTGAAAAATGAATGACAAAATACTTAAAATTAACATTAAATTGATTTATCATCAATATTTGGACAAAAAATCAATAAATATTTCAAATATTTTTGGTATTTAGAGTATCGTTTGGCTATTTTACAAATTTTCATTTAACTATTTTACATATTTCTAAGTATTTTAGAATTTTTTAAAACATCTCATGTGTTTTGTATATTCTTAGATGTTAAATTTAAAAATAATTAATATATTTAAAAATATAAATCTGGTTCGAGTACACTCGGATATCCGAAAATTTTTGATTCAGTTTTGATTATCTAGATACCAAAATTTCGAATTCGCTTGGATATCTAACCAATTTTGCTTAAAAATTTGTATTCATTTTTGGGTTAGATTTGGTTCGGTTATTTGGATTTAAACTATTAATCAAAAATATTATAATTGAAAATTTTCAATGCTTTATTAATTTATAGTCGTTTGTAAAAATTTTAAATATAACATATGTAAAAATCTAATTTTTTGTTATATAGTTAACGTTATTGTTTAATTTATTTTTATAATTAAATTTAACAAAAATAGTAGATGCTATAATTTTTATTATCAAATCTTCATATTCAAATCATTAATTGTCATATATATATTGTAACCATATTAGGTAATTCCGTAAATTTTATTTAAGGAAATAATGAATAGCATTAATAATATTTTTATGTTTAGACTAATAAAAAGTATATTATATGTTTATATGGACCAACATTTTTCTCTAGTAAATTTGAGAAACATTCTCATGCTGACACGTGGCTACCAAAGAATGTTGTAATGCTTCTCAAATAATATATAGGGGATGTAAGACATTAAATAATGCTCAATGCAAACTGTAGCGCAACCCATGCTTTATCGTTTTTAAAAAGATTGTAAAATTTGGCTTCGGCCGGGTTCGAACCGGAGACCTTCAGTGTGTTAGACTGACGTGATAACCAACTACACCACGAAACCGAGATGCCTAACTCACTCTAAGTTATGTAAAATTATTAATTCCTTGGTGTCGGCGCAATTTCTCTTCCTTTTTCTTCTTTTCTGTTCTCTCTCTCTCTATTGTTGTTAACCTTCTCTTCCGCCGCCGTCCAATAGAGAAAACTTCTATCGGAGAGAACTTTCAAGATGTCGACTGGATTAGATATGTCTCTCGACGACATGATCGCCAAGAATCGCAAGTCTCGCGGATCTGGATCTGGATCCGGATCCGGATCGGGTCCGATTCGTCGCAACAACCCTAATCGTAAATCAAACCGATCTGCTCCATACCAATCTACAAAGGTTCCAAATCCGTTCTCTTCTTCTCCTTCTTTCTTCTCAGATCTGCCGGGAAAACAGATTCTTCTTTAATAAAAAGCAAATCGATTTTTGGCGATAATGATGAATCTCACAAAAAGAGGATAAAACAAAAAACAAACAAACGGATTGATTTGATTGTATAGGCGCCGGAGTCCACGTGGGAGCACGACATGTACTCCTCCGAAGGTGTCCCTTCTCGATCAACCCGTTCTTCCGCCGGAATCGAAACCGGAACGAAGCTCTACATATCCAACTTGGATTACGGTGTCATGAACGATGACATCAAGGTATTAAAAAAATCCTTCCTTTTTTTTTAATTTAGCAATTACATGTTTAGGGTTTGTGGAATTTAGAATCTTGAATTGCATGTTTGTGGATCAGATTTCAAAGTTGTATAATGGATCTGATTGTTTTTGTATGTAGGAACTGTTTGCTGAAGTTGGGGAGCTTAAACGCTACACTGTTCACTTTGACAGGAGTGGGAGATCAAAGGTAGAGACAATTTTTGTTACTCTCCTTTTACAACATCTTTACTCTAATTTGAGTCGTGAAAGACTAAAGCTTGTTATATGCTTATACTTTTAGGGAACTGCTGAAGTTGTATACTCTCGTCGTGGTGATGCGATCGCAGCTGTGAAGAAGTACAACGACGTTCAGCTAGATGGAAAGCCTATGAAGATTGAGATTGTGGGAAACAATCTTCAAGCTGCTTCTGCTCCGTCTGGTAGACACGGGAATGCAAACTTCAATGGTGGTGCTTCAAGGCGGTGAGATTTATACACTGCTCACTATGTATTTATATGTAGAAGCTTTGTCGATGTTGTGAGGTGTATTGAAAGTATGTTTATTGCTGGGTTTTCAGAGGAGGACAAGGGAGAGGTGGTCAACAACGTCGTGGTGGTGGTGGTGGTGGTCGAGGAGGTGGCCGTGGTCGTGGTGGGCGTTCTGGCAAGGGCCCAGCAGAGAAGGTATCTGCTGAAGATCTTGATGCGGATCTTGATAAGTACCACGCAGGAGATATGGATACTAACTGAGGAATGTGGCTGGTGTCTTCTCAAACCGCAAGTGGGGTGTATGAAGATGAGAAGCTAGAAAAACTTTGGCCAGAGGCTTTACCACTGAGCCTCTTTCATGGCCGTATGTTGTTGATTTGTTTCATTAGAATTACTCTTTAGATCCAAACTGTGTTTACTATGAGATTGTTGTTTTTATCTCAATACCCTCAACTACAAGGCAGAGAGAAACGAAAACGAGTTTTATCTTCACAAGCTAGGTTACTGTTACAAACTAAGATGATGATGATTTAGCTGTATTTTACCTGTCATCTTACTCTAGGTTATGCTGGGTGACCCAACTAATCAAAAAGTAGAGTCTTAGGCTCAACTTTCTGTTTGTTTGTTTTAGGTCTTAGCTCAAATTCTTAAGTCTCTCTTTCTCACCTTCAAACTGGCAGATAACTTTGTATTACTTCCTTAAGGGGTGAAACTTGTAATGGGTTCTCAGTTCTCACACATCCAGTAAAACTAACGAGAAGGAAAAATGTATGACCACATAAAAAAGGGGTTTATGTTCTCTATAGCAGCAAAATAACAACTTAACAATGACAACAAAACACACGTCAAAAGCTATTCCATGGGATCTTCCTCAAAACGGATTATATGTTCTCCATGGAACGCAATACAGGTGAAGGTAAAGTTCTCCGGTTTTCTTGTGACTAAAACGACGTTATATACACAAGGATTGGATTCCTGCTGCAGGCTTCATCAATAAGTACAAGCTATTTAGCTCTGCCTTGGCTTCTCTCGCCGTGAAAAGATGAGCCTTACGATGGAATAGAGCACCGCTTTAATGCAAGAAACCACAAAGTTCCAGCACGAAGATGGCCAGTACCACGGATATAGCAGCCTGAAAAATAGACTGATGAGATGCCTCGGGTAACGCCCAACCTGCAAGGCAAGAGTTTCATAAACGTTACATACCAGACCTATCCACATCTGAAGCCTTAGATGATATGTTTCTCAAGTTGGATCTTGTGATATTTTTTTTTTTGCAAAGAAACACTCACGGGAAAGAGGGAATCCAAAGCATCCCAGGCTGCATGACGGACAGCTCTTGTAGGGTACATTGGACCTCCGGGAGAGGTAAAACTGTACAAACATGCCTTTAACCTCGTGCTAGTTGTCATTCTCAGTTCCATACCTGCAGGTATAATCCAATAGTTTGACTCCATGTAGCCAATATTCTGAAGAATCTTATGTAGAAAAGAGAAAAGTACCTTGAAGGATCTTCATCTGAGAAAGATAGTGTAGCAGTACTGGTTCAACTTTCAACTTTTGCAGCTGCACCACAATAACAGATTAGATGAGTGATGTGTGACTCAAGTCTTAAAAGGATATTTTGAATGTGGTCACAAAGCCTTTGCTTCTATACCTGATCAGTAAGTTCTATAACAAGGAAATCTCCGGGTCCTCCCACCAAAAAACCGTTAGGGAACTCTGGGAAGTTCCTCAGGAAGCTATCTAGTCTGTCCACTGGGAAAAATAACATAACTGTCAGTATACAAGAAGAAACTTGGTTCCAATAATAACTTCTCAGAAAACAGTGGTGCTACCTGAATTGTAAAAGAAAATGAACCTTGAGAGCAAGAGATACAGTTCCCTCTGAGCCTGAAATTAGGGAATGAGAGAGTTACTCCCCAGGCTGAAATCAGTTGAAACATTAAGAAAACGGAGAGAAAGCACTCACCTGGATGGGAATTTTTTTTAATCTGGTTGGCTCCAAAGCAACTTCCTCGAGAAGATACTAAAAGAACAACGAGACTGTTAGTAACTGTACCAAGTGGCATGAGCGTGTCATAGTAAGTAACAACCAGATCGACAAGTACAAAGAATATATTTTTGCCTAGAAGATCTATAGAGGCATTGAAAAGTAACAACATAGAGGATGTGAATGATATATCATAGTCATTTGATTTACATATTAAACTTCCCTATATATATGTAAATATCCAACATGGGAAGATAGGCTATGACATATCTGAGGAAAAGAAGGTACCCGAAAGAGAGTTTGGAAGCGTCTTGTGTTTGTCTGGATGTCTATCCTGTAATTTAATGGAGTACAGATTATAACATGTCACCCTCATAATACTTGGCAAGCCAATCCACTTCTTACAAATGAAACTAGTACAGATCCCAAATACATGACTAAACCTAGCGGGATATACACACTGAACGAAGCAATGCCTGGCGAGCAAATGCAACGAAGAGACTTGTGAGTCACAAGTTGTGACTATCACACCACTTAATAATTGAAAAATCACAAGTAACAATAAGCAAATGCAGCTATACTCCAGACGCATAATTGAACATAGCGAGGTATACACACTGAAGATAGTAATCTTGCTTTTGCCAAAGTTGAAAGAGTTTACCAAAAGACATTTGTTGCTCCCTGAACCAGAGCAGAAGAATACCGCAGGAGTATTTCTTGATTCTCAAGCTCAACCTCAAACAGCTGAGAAGAAATACATGAACATGTAAACACATTATTGACTCAGGTCGACAATATAGCATGAGAGAGATATTGGTAAAGTTTGCGATACCCATTTATGAAACAGAAGAGAGAATATATGTGAGGCAAAGGATTGGCTCCACAGCTGAACCATCAAATCAAGTATATCTTGCCCTCTCTCAGACACTTTGACATAGTAATCAGCAAGCACGTCGAAGAAACATAACGGACCATCAGCATCAGCTTCATCAGAAATCACATCCTCTTCTTTGCTAAGGAGCACATCTGCTTCAAAAATTCCATCTCAAAAAGTTAAAGTACAGACCAGTATCCATCTAATCATCTCTCTATTAGATAATTTCAAAAAACAATTCACACAAAGAAGTGTTACCTTTGGCACGTTCATCGACTTCGAGAGCTATATCAGCAAACAAATCTTGTAACAAGTTGCGTGTTTGTGCTGGAGAGACAACAGCCTAGGAGAACCATAAAAGATCAACACTTTAAAAATCAATTCTTATACTCTCAAATCATCGAATTGCATGAGATTTTATATGGAATCACAAAACCAGATTCAGATTCTTTAATGCATGTTTCTTATGCGGAGATCAAGAAGCGATTACGAAGAAGAATAAAAAAACAGATCTTTGACGCAAAAGAAGATACAAAAAAGGCTAACCCGAGTAAGCTTCTTCTTAATCTCTTGTGTAAGAGCTTCAAGATAAGCAGACCTCCGTGAAGAAGACGGCGACGACACTTTCTCCATTCCTCAAAATGAACCGCCTCGATGAATCGAATCGAATCGGAAGGAGAAATCGAGACTTTGGAGAAGATTGGTGATAATGATTGCTTTCTTCACAAAGAGTATTTAAATTCAAGAAATCAAATTAAATCAATGGGGTCTCTTTTTTATCTGATTTTAAATTCGTGGCGTGTAAACAAAAGAACAGTTAAGCATTCTTTTTGTTTCTCTTTTCTCACTGTGAACTCGATAGAGATGGGACATGATCTTGTTTTAGTGTCTAGATCAATAATGAAACGCGTAAACGACGTCGTTTACCTGAGTTTCCAAGAGATGACGTGTCGTTCTTATAATGACACGTGTGATCTCGTTACCCCTCCTGGTTAGTTATCTCGTTTTCTGAAAAAGAGGTAAAGTAAAGTTTACGCGGTAATGATTATGTGTATACACGTAGGATTTGACTTTAACGTTTTATCGTCCTGATCCGACCAGTACATTGTTCTTAATGGGCCGTTAGATACGTTAATGGGCTAAAATTTTTACTTCTCTATAAGATTAAAACTAGTCGTTTTATAATCGGAAAATTAATTGTTTAATTCATATTTCTCAACACGTCGTCGTTTCACAAACCGTTCCACACACATCATCTCACAGTGATCGGCGAAGCACCAAAAACCCTAATCGGAACCCCTCTCTCTCCGCCGTCACTCATGTCATTCTTCGACCTAAACATCCCATACACCTACCCCTCCCCATCAGGCGGAAAAGAACTCCCCGTCTCCAACAAACTCCGCGTAAAGCTCGCCACGAAAGCCATGGAGCTCGGCTACGTCGGAATCGCACACAACCACTCGATCGAAGGCACCATGACCGAGAAAGACACTTGCACGATCCCTCTCCTCACTCTCGGATCTCTCGTCAAAGCCGCTCCGAGACTATCTTCCTCCGTGGCCTTCCACCGCGACTTACTCTCCGTCCCGCGATCCACTCCGTTTCGCCAGTACACGCGCGTGACGGTTAGGCTCGAGAGTAAGGCTCAGTGTCTGGGGTTGAACTCGGGGAACCCGGTTTTGAAGAGTTATGATGTTGTGGCGGTTAGGCCGATGAATCAGTATGCGTTTGATCAGGCTTGTGTGAAGGCTGAGGTTGTTGATGTTATCTCGATTGATTTGTGGAATTTGCAGTTTCGCTTGATGCATCCGTTGGTTAAAGCTGCTGTTAAGGTTTTGTTGATTGTTGTGTAGAGATTGTTTCCTTCGTTTTCTATGCTATTGTTTTGAGCTTGATGAGTTTTTTTTTTTTTTTTAATGTGTAGCGTGGGGTTTACTTTGAGATTAAGTACTCTCATCTCTTGAATGATGCTGAGAAAAGGAGACAAGTTATATCCAATGCTAAGGTGAGTTCAGGATCAATGTTCAAGAAGTCGGTTTTATAGAAGATTATTGTTTAGGCATGTGACTAGGCCGATTTTTAGAACACTGGGGTAAAGTGTAGTGTTGTATGCTTATACTTTTTTTTTGTGATATGGTGTTATTAGTTACTGGTGGATTGGACTAAGGGGAAGAATCTGATTATATCAAGTGGTGCTCCTTCAGAAAATAAATGTCCTCCTTCAGTTACTGAGCTTAGAGGTCCTAATGATGTTATAAACCTCATGTCATTGCTTGGACTCTCTAGTGAGAGAGCCAGAGCTGCAATTTCAGTAAATTGTAGGTAAGGTGTTCATCTCTTCTAGCACTTGATGAGCTTAGAAGTTATTGTCGTTTTAAGATGAATTTTTTGAAATTGTCTTTTCAGGAATATGATAGCAAAGATTTTGAAGAAGAAGCGGTTTCATAAAGAAGCTGTCAAGGTTGAGTTACGTTCTTCTAGTGAAAAATTTAGTCTCGAACAGCCTCTGTCTGGAGATTGTGTGAAATGGGATCCGCTCTCGAGTGGTGAAGGTGATATGCTTTTGGAAGATATCGCAAAGGCTTTTGAAGCCACTACACGTCACAAATCCTCCAAGGCGATTGATGTTACTTCTGATCGTAATGGCTTGCCGTCACATGGTTTCCGGATCGGTAATATTCTCGGAACTGAACCTTTGACTCAGCCACCTGCAGCTAATGAGATGATTGACGCACCAGTGCAATGTAAGGATCAAGTTTCTGATGTGTGTATGGCTGATTCAGCTTCATCTGTTGAAAACGAAACCGTTAGCCAGATTGACTTGCTGATATCTGAAGATGATAACAAAGTGGAACCTACAAGGATTGTTCCCTTCTCCAGCCAGAGACAGGGGCTTTTGGATCAAGCAGCTGCATCCTTTACACTGATAAAATGTACAGAGTCAGATGCAGCTTCTGATGTTAACATGCAGACTGAGTTAGATTCTGAAGATAAATCAATGTCACCATCAAAAAGCGGTCACGAGATCCCACAAACTTCTGCTGAAAACTTAAACATGGAAACTATTGGTGTTGATGATGAAGTCCCAGTGGACGGAGTCAGCAAAGAAGGAGCTGTTTTTGGTCACGCTAATATTGAGCAACCTGCAATCACTGATGATGTTGATGAGATGAAAATCGATGGCTCTTTGGAGGCGAATCACGAGGAGTACAAGGACGTGACAGTGGAAGACCAGAAGCATGAAACAGGTGACGATCATATTATTCTTCCTAACTTAACCTCCTCTGAGACTACCGAATTGCTAAGAGAATCGAGTAACTCTCTCAGTCCAGAGGCGGTTGGACAGGACCATGACCAAGTACCAAGCTTAGGGTCGAGCGAGGCCGAGCTTGGGGAATACGAGATAACAATGGAAGAGAAGAGGGAAACCGAAACTAATCAACAAGCCAATGTCATGTCCTTTGAAAGAAACAATGCTAGAAACTCAGGTATGGATTTAAGGTTCATCATTTTAAAAACTTAACCGAAACACACACGCCAAGTTTAGGACTAAGGTTTTAAGTGTTATGTCAAAATCCAGGTAAGGTACGAGCAAGGAGGAGTTGGTTTAGATTAACGCAACTACAACCTTTGAAGCCTTTTCTACTACAACGTTTCAAACGAATCAGTAAAAGAAGAAAACATAGAAGAGCTTGATGATTCTTAAACACTAGAGAAGTTTTGTTTATTGATTTAAACCCACGCAAGTCTCGTGTTGTTGAAACCGATCATTAAAGTGGGGTAAGAGAAAAATTATAAAGTTTAGAGTTGGTTTCTTCGGGTACTCGTGTCAAGAAATACACTTTAAATTAAAATAACAAAAGAAGAAAGAAAAAAGTGAAAAAACATGTTAAAAGAGTGGAGAGTCGGTAAATCTACCGCCGGCCGACAAAAATCAAGGACATGGTCGCCGGAGGGCCTACATCTCCAATCCATAGCCTTTGTTAAAGAAGAAAGACTGCTCTCTAAAACTACTTTTGTTTAAACTAAAACATCACATGTTGTAGTTCATTTGAAAAAAAATACACGGACACTTTTTACTTATAAATAAGACAATTGAACCTTCTTACTTTTGTTAGGTTGGTTACTTTTGTTTAGTTTATATGAGTGGAACCTTCTTTGGTTTCTTAAGGATTTCTAAGGTATTAATGTATGCGTGCTTTAAGAGATTGCTAGTACTTTGTAGCACGATGAGTAATCAACGTGAGAGTATTGAAATCATCAAAGTAACATGACCATGTTCGTTACATGATTTTTGATGCTAAAAGTCATCATCTTTGTACTTTCTGATTCTTTTTGTAAATCAAGTTGGTAAAATAAAATTTGGACCATTACAGAACATAATAAACTATGCATAAACTATTTACGGTCCCATAAAGGGTAATGATATGGAATGAATAATTTGTCTAAGTAGGGAACAAACTGGAGCTCTACTACTATTTCACTATTTTTTATAGTGTCTACTATATCTCATATGCGAAAAAATTGGTGTATGTCCTTAATTTGGTGTATCTACACAAATTCATACAAGTTTTTTTGTATAATTTTTCCTTTATAATTTCTACAAGTATATAATACAAATGGAACAAAATGCTAGTTCTAATTTTTATCTTTGTCATTTTTTCTGTTTCAAAAAAGGTTTATATTATTTATGTTTCAATATAAGTGATGCCTTTTTTAATCAAGTATATAAGTGGTGAAAAAAAAAAGTATATAAGTGGTGTCTTGAAAAAAATTACGTTCGTTACTAGATAAAAATTGGGGAACTTATCATAATTTATTACACTACCATTTTCAAGTGTTAATCTAAAATCTTATATCCGATGTTTTGCTTCAAATATGATATATTATTTTGAAGAAAATTATATATATATATGTATATATTGTTTTTTTTGCTAAATGGTAAATATCATTAATGAAAATGAAAGTTTGGTTACAAAGTTAATCGAAACCACTACCTGCAACAACTGATTTGATCCTAGTGACCGCAAAAAAATTAAAAAACCACTAGGATACATATGAATTAATTCCAAGCTTCATACATAGAGAACTTGAAATTAATAGACTAAAAGATCAAGCAGACAACAGTATAATCACCCTAATTCAAAGCCTTCTTGATGTACCTGAAATAAACCAGATGAAGCAAGAGAATGGCCAGAGAAAGTTCGGTCGAGAACTCACCGAAGTGGCTCCGAGCAGGCATCAACGGAAGCGCATGGCTTACGCCCCGGAGCTCCACTGGAGAAGGACCTCGACCAAAAAATCCTAGCAATCTCGACTGTAAGACGAAGGTTCATCCGTAGTAACACTGCTTACATGGAAGCTCGAGTTACGGTCAAGCATAGGCGGTACAACAGGCTCCAACACCACCCACGCGACACAGAGCATACAGCAAAGACCCCGAAGGAACACTAAGCCAACTCGTAGGAGCTATGAACACAAGGGTATAAAGCACGGAAGGAGGCATAGCTCTCCTTGCAAACAGACAGCCTAGAGACGATGGAGAACTCCGCCTAAGAGCAAGTGAGTCACCACATCGGGTTGTCCTCAAACCCTAGCAGACAACATCGGTAGCAAAGAGGAGGAGACGAACACATCACCAAAGAAAGCCATGGTTGTTGTCGCTTGAACTAATGGAGAGGTCCCCAACGAGCTCCTCAGTCTCGTCGCTTCGTCTCAGATCATGTGAACAAGACGGGAAAGCTCTAGAAACTGCGACCACAGGAGGAGACAGGGGAAAGCAGAGGAGGCTGAAGACCGGAGGAGAAGAGGCAGCGACGCACTACACTCCGGTGAGCCTCCGTACCGGAACTGACCCAGAACCAGCACAAGCGAAACCCTAGATCTGCCAAAACAACGGCGCCGCCTGCAAGCATACAGACTGCCACGACCTCGCCCTCTCTCCAGAGACATTGAATACACACTCAGTCGTCGATTTGGTCACCGATATGTATATATTGTTGAAGTTATATATTTAATGATTTTTGGTAGATGCATATATATCGTTTTTGTTTTTTCTTTAAACTATCGACTATTTCTCTCAATTAGATCAGAACTTAGGATGAATTCCATACCATGAAAAGTGGTTCAAAAAATAGCCAGTGAAGATCGATCTGTAGCAAAGATCTCCGAACAAATATACAAAATATGTTATTCTTATTTACAATGAAACTCAACACCTAAATGAGTTTATAGCAACATGGTGCAATTTTGTAACCACAACAAATTAAGTGCCATATAAACATATATAAGAAATAAAAAACATAAACATAACTAGAAGAAATTAGTTAATGAAGTGATTAGTAGAGAAAGATTCAAGAAAAGATGCCCACGTATCAACATCTCCAACCACGGCTTCAACTACATCAACTTGTTCTTGTTGTGATATCTCATCATTCCTTGCAAATCTTCCTCTTATTCTTGGCCTACTGTCCGCTAATGTCTTCCTGCATTCATACTAATGAAAAATAATTTATTAAATTCTTCTCAAAATCAATTTGATGTTAGATATCTATAGGTCCCTTATTTGCAATAAATGGGTGTTTTGTCTAAAATATTTCGACGCACATAACAAGTGATATACATATTTTTAATATAATTATAACTCGAGCAGAAGACATTACCGTTTGCATATGTTAATGCAACATATAAAACTTTGATTAGGAATGAAACTTGAACATGAACTCATGAATATTTTATGTTCCTGGATGAAGTAACCAGGATACTTATTAAGCTAGATGGGCTTCCAACCTAAAACCAATTGGTGATAACTGGATTGGCCCTAAGTCTTTACATATTACTCAATTACTTCTCCAACTACCGATGTGGGACTTAGTTTCATACATTAACACTCCCCCTCACGCTCATGCGTGGACAACTGTGGGAACAACATCCACGGAGTGGCCCAATATCGGGTGGCTCTGATACCATATTAACTTTGGGTTTATTATGGGCTTCCAACATAAAACCAATTGGTGATAAGTGGATTGGCCCTAAGCCTTTATATATTACTCAATTACTTCTCCAACTACCGATGTAGGACTTAGGCCTCGATTGGTATAACAGATGATAAAGCAGTAGTAGTATGCTGCAGAAGCGGTATGCTACAGAAGCTGTATGCTTTCAATAAAGTTTTTAATAAAATGATTGGCAAAGCATTAGCAGTATAAGATTTTAAAATTGTCATAATAGTAGTAAAATAATATATTACTTTTAAAATAATATATATATATATATATATATATATATATTAATAATATATAATTTTATTAAAAACAATGAATTTTCATTATATAATTATATTTAAAATTTAAAGTTTTTTTTTTAAATATTAAATTATTTTTGGATATAACATATTACTCATATATAAATTATAGTTATAATTTAATTAATTATTATTAAATTATAATTATTATTAAATAAATAAATAAATTAATTATATTTTATATATAAATTAATTATAATTTTTATATAAATTATTATTTATTTATTTATTGGTAGAGCACTAAATTACTCATATATAAAATTATCATAAAAGTTAATAATATAATTTATTTGTTAGTGTCTAAATAATATGTTTATATCGATAATATATAAATTATATTATGTTATTTTTGTTAGTAAAAATAATGAATGATATATGTAATTATATAAATTATATTATCTTTTAAATGTGAAATATTGTTCTTTTAAAAAAAATATAATTTTTATTTTTATTTTTTAAAATATAAATTTATATTTAATTATAAAAATATTGTTTATATTTTTAAACTAAAATAAATTAATTATATGTAAATATTATTAAGTTTTATATTTTCTATATGCAAATGCTCTCCCAAAAGCTCTATATGAGAGCATTGAGCAAAGAGCATTTGGAGAGCATTTGCATCTGGTAAATGCTTTTCTAAATGCTTCTTTACAAAATGTTGATTGGATAATAGAGAGCATAATGCTTATGCTAATGCTCTACCAATCAACCCCTTAGTTTCATACATTAACAATACTTGGGACCTTCTCATGATAAAAATAGTTAATGGAGGTTGTCCAAGCAAATAAACTTGTGGCAACCTTTGGAGCTTCATGTGTCTATCTCAAAAGATTCCTTAAGACCAAATTTGATGTGACATAACACTAATTCTCATTCACATACTCACATATGTCAAACGAAATTCTATTTATGCTTGAAGATAAGATTAAAATAAATAATCAAATGTTACTTTTAAGTGATAAGAGGTGATTGATATGAGATACTAAACCATTTTTTATCTTTGTGGTCAACGAACCATTTAGTTTAGTTTTTTTTTTTTTTTTTTTTTTTTTTTTTTTTTTTT